CGACTTGTAAACATCACCTACACACATGTAGGAATTGAAACAATTTTTACACGACATCACTTGTATACCCAACAAGAAGCTACCCATTGCAATCCATATTGCATATCAATCATCTCACTGCTGTTTCGATAAAAATGTTTCATTTATCTATGTAGACATTAATTGTCACAAGTTCTTTCTACCATAAAACAGTTCATTATGACCACAAGCTGATGCATATCAAAGCCAAGAGGGAACTAAAGGAATTCAAAGGTTTCAGAGGTCGGTATAACCATACAACATGTGAGTACGTACACGAGCCATGGGCCTTTCATGTTGAATGACAGGAATGAAGTAATATTTACATGTACAGCTGTTTGCCTCGTACAAATTTACAAGTGTCAAGCAAAAAGAAAAAAATGCACAAGAGTGAAGAAATGACATGAGACAACATTCCAACCTCTGGTTCGCTCTCCTTTATTCATCCCAGGGCTGCAATGTCTTCAGCTATAGGGTAGCCGCTGCTGACAGATCAGGCTCACCAAAGTTTACACCTGCAGCGCCACCCACATTCAGACTTAAAAACTGCAGGTAACATCTTTCTGTTCTGACATTCTCATCTTTGTAAAGCTGAGGCCATGGGAAAAACAAGTTTGTTCTTTCTGAGATCAGTTATTGCACAACACTAGGATACAGTAAGAAAACTATACCTATCAATGCTCCTTTTTTTCAAAGGCCCCTTGAGTCTCAACCATTGACCTCGGAAGACAAGAAGAGTTTATTGATCTCATCAATTGCACTGATGTGAGTTCCAGGGAGTAACAGACGCAACAAAGGAACCGATGTGGTTGTGCGTATAGGCTTGATTTTTTCCAGTGCTGTCTTGATAACAGTTGGTGTAGGTATGCTGTACCACTGGAGATACCAAGAAAGAAGTGTTGACGGCTTCCCCTCGTCCGATATTTCACTTGGCCATCTCCCTGACTTCAAATAATTGAAGAAATGATTTTCCAATCCTGCAAAGCAATTCAGAATCTCTTCCACCCGCTTTCTGAGTGAACCTAGGAAAATAGCTAGAACAATGCTCCCTCTTGAAGTTAAAATCCTTCCATTTAGCAAAGCTTCATTGTAGGCCAGTGCAAGCTGGAGGCAAAACAGGTATAACAAAAACAAAATTTAGTGAAGGTTAGTTCATAATAGAGAGTAATAAAAACATGAAGTAAGTCAAAAGAGTCAAGAAACTAGATGCCAACCCAACCATTAGTCATGTTTAAGAAACCTGCCTTGCAGAATTATTGAAATCTCTCCTTTTCTTTTCTTTTCTTTTTTTTTATTACCTATCCTTTCCTCATTGAGAGTGTGTGTTTGAAACAAATCTAACAATAAAGGATTTTCTTCAACTAATCAAATGCTGTAAGAGTAATCCTTGGGTATGGTGTCACCGGCCCCTAAATTTGAATAACAAGATAAACAAACAAGTGACAAGAAACAAATAAGGCACACACAAAGAAGCACAAGATGTAGGTGGTTTAATCGGAAAAGCTTACGTCCACGGCGACAACAATCGGAACAAGGGAAAATTTACGCTTATATCACTCAACTCTCAAGGCACGGTTTTTTCGATGTCTGCAACCGATACCTAACCATCCCCTTTTATAATGAATTCAGTGAGGAAGCGGACAACACACCAGATCAGTGCAAATTTGGCACTTCACCCATAAGACTTCCATGCCAGCTTTTATCTCTTGAGGCCAAAAAGTCTACAATTCTGGCAACTTTTGTCAACGATTATCTGCTTTGGCAAGAAACGAAATCTCTTCTCCAATTGTCATCTATGATGGGCCTCAACAATCCACTCAAACTAATAGGATCTTAAGCAAGTCCAAGGAATGCTCGAACTTGATTGTTGAAACTACCATTCTCAGTTGTACTGGATTCTCTGTCGTAGGATTTTCTTCACAACAATAGCACTCTAATAAATAACATCTCAAATGAAGTGAACCTTGATATCAATATGTTTGGTCCTTTCATGGAATATCTGAATGTATGCCACTCTCGTTCTCACATTACCCAATAATAAACTTATATTCTAAGCTTCGATCACAACCAAAACTTTCAACCTTATGGCTTCCTTCACTACCTCTAAAGCTGCGACACACTTGGTCTTCATTGCATACAGTGCAATTGTAAACTGCAACATCGTCTTCCCGGTTCAAACTGACGACATAACCACAGAGAGTGAATATATAACCTGTAAAATATTTCCTTCAATCAAGATATTGATCCAACGATATGCAATTATTTATATTAGATGACCAATTTAGATTAATCTAAAAATTTAATCTAACGATGTGCAATTTTTTACCAAAAATAAATTCACGCCTATTTCTAGCACTTGCATGATCCCACCCTCACCTATCCCATCTCTGTCATCCCCCTCACTTTCCCCCATTTTTTTCTCTGCTCTCTCACGTTATTCTCTCTAGTCTCTGCCACCCTCACCCTCCACCGTCCTTTTGCCTTCTCCGACTCCAACAACACATCTGTTGAAGGTCGATATCTCTCTCTCTCTTCTCCATTTTCCACCCCCGCAAACTATGAAGATGGATACTTCTTTGAGGTCAATGTATCCATATCAAAAATTGTATCAAATATGATACTCGTCAAATACTTGAGGATACGTATCGAACACATCTCCTACATATCCGATAATAATAAAATATTTAGATACTTTGCGAATACTTTGTATCGGAGCAATATGCATAATTTTTTAATTTAATCTTTAAACATCTCCTTTGGAATTCACATACCATATAATAAATACATCAACAAAAACTTCATAAGACTTTGAAGACACATGAATGCTTTTAACGTTTTATCTATTATTACCGGTCAAAAGAGTATAAAATGAATCTATTAAATTACTTTAGGCAATGAATACTTCTAAGCAAATCAACTAAGTAAATATTAGTTTTAATTTTTTTAATTAATCACATCACTTTGTAAATATATCATAATGATCCGATATGAACTTTTCAAAACTAAAGAAAAATTGTCAATTTAGCTTATTATGTTAAAGAATCACCAAAATATACAATTATCAAGTTGGTAGATAATTGTTAAAATTTAACATTTTATTATAGANAGCCTCGATAATTGAAGTCATAATCGAGTTGACCTCCTAGACTTGCTTGATACGAGCCTGACACAAACCCAGCTACATAAAACGCAAATACGACTTGTAAACATCACCTACACACATGTAGGAATTGAAACAATTTTTACACGACATCACTTGTATACCCAACAAGAAGCTACCCATTGCAATCCATATTGCATATCAATCATCTCACTGCTGTTTCGATAAAAATGTTTCATTTATCTATGTAGACATTAATTGTCACAAGTTCTTTCTACCATAAAACAGTTCATTATGACCACAAGCTGATGCATATCAAAGCCAAGAGGGAACTAAAGGAATTCAAAGGTTTCAGAGGTCGGTATAACCATACAACATGTGAGTACGTACACGAGCCATGGGCCTTTCATGTTGAATGACAGGAATGAAGTAATATTTACATGTACAGCTGTTTGCCTCGTACAAATTTACAAGTGTCAAGCAAAAAGAAAAAAATGCACAAGAGTGAAGAAATGACATGAGACAACATTCCAACCTCTGGTTCGCTCTCCTTTATTCATCCCAGGGCTGCAATGTCTTCAGCTATAGGGTAGCCGCTGCTGACAGATCAGGCTCACCAAAGTTTACACCTGCAGCGCCACCCACATTCAGACTTAAAAACTGCAGGTAACATCTTTCTGTTCTGACATTCTCATCTTTGTAAAGCTGAGGCCATGGGAAAAACAAGTTTGTTCTTTCTGAGATCAGTTATTGCACAACACTAGGATACAGTAAGAAAACTATACCTATCAATGCTCCTTTTTTTCAAAGGCCCCTTGAGTCTCAACCATTGACCTCGGAAGACAAGAAGAGTTTATTGATCTCATCAATTGCACTGATGTGAGTTCCAGGGAGTAACAGACGCAACAAAGGAACCGATGTGGTTGTGCGTATAGGCTTGATTTTTTCCAGTGCTGTCTTGATAACAGTTGGTGTAGGTATGCTGTACCACTGGAGATACCAAGAAAGAAGTGTTGACGGCTTCCCCTCGTCCGATATTTCACTTGGCCATCTCCCTGACTTCAAATAATTGGAGAAATGATTTTCCAATCCTGCAAAGCAATTCAGAATCTCTTCCACCCGCTTTCTGAGTGAACCTAGGAAAATAGCTAGAACAATGCTCCCTCTTGAAGTTAAAATCCTTCCATTTAGCAAAGCTTCATTGTAGGCCAGTGCAAGCTGGAGGCAAAACAGGTATAACAAAAACAAAATTTAGTGAAGGTTAGTTCATAATAGAGAGTAATAAAAACATGAAGTAAGTCAAAAGAGTCAAGAAACTAGATGCCAACCCAACCATTAGTCATGTTTAAGAAACCTGCCTTGCAGAATTATTGAAATCTCTCCTTTTCTTTTCTTTTCTTTTTTTTTATTACCTATCCTTTCCTCATTGAGAGTGTGTGTTTGAAACAAATCTAACAATAAAGGATTTTCTTCAACTAATCAAATGCTGTAAGAGTAATCCTTGGGTATGGTGTCACCGGCCCCTAAATTTGAATAACAAGATAAACAAACAAGTGACAAGAAACAAATAAGGCACACACAAAGAAGCACAAGATGTAGGTGGTTTAATCGGAAAAGCTTACGTCCACGGCGACAACAATCGGAACAAGGGAAAATTTACGCTTATATCACTCAACTCTCAAGGCACGGTTTTTTCGATGTCTGCAACCGATACCTAACCATCCCCTTTTATAATGAATTCAGTGAGGAAGCGGACANAAGAAAAATTGTCAATTTAGCTTATTATGTTAAAGAATCACCAAAATATACAATTATAAAGTTGGTAGATAATTGTTAAAATTTAACATTTTATTATAGACGTATCATAACTGTATCAGTATCCTATTTTTTTTTTAAAATAATTCGTATTGCCATATCAATATTGTATCATACTCATATCCCGCATCTCGTATCCATACTTAATACCCTGCAACCCCTTTGACACACTCACACGCTACAAACACACAAACCCACTCAGCACAAACACACTAATCACACACATCCACAAGACACGCACACCTACACCCACACTTACCACGTATGCACACAAACACAAACCCACACACAGAGCAAAGGAAACATTTCATTGTAGGTAATTCGGCTCTCATGAAGCCAAATAATATTTCAGTTGTTTCAGTCACATAATATTAGCTTTCATATCAACCAAAGCTAGCAGCATTATTAATTGTCAAAACAAGAGAATTGTGGAGTGGAAGGGGTAGGATCAAAGAGCTTACCTTTAAACTAGAGAGGAAGAGTGAGTCGCCTAAAAAGGAAATATCACTAGTAATCTCATCCGCCATATACCCAATTGTAGTGTATAATGACAAATAAACCTGCACAATTGTTGGAAATTCCTTACATCTGCCCTATGGGACCTGGAGAAAGTTTCTCAAAGAAAAGAGAAGAACAAAGCAACAAACAGCTGATATAATGCAGCAAGGATTAAACCAATCGAGTTTGAATTGGTGTGACACTTTTACTGATCACTACATTACAACAATAAATATTAATAAATAAGTTACTCTTTGCGAATGTGCAATGTTTGCCACTATTTGGGTGAGTTGGTGGCGCAATAATTTTTAAGGGTAATTTTGAAGTAATTGAAAGCTTATGAAGTCTCATCTATTTCTTAGCATCTTTTGGAGCGTCAATCTCTGACGAGTTTGCCATGTCTCTTTGGAATCTTGGTGGACTGAACTGCTACTTGTGGCTGTTAAGAAGACCATAATTTCTGCTGTTCGGTTTTTATGTAGTGCTTTTTTGTTGATCTGCAATACGGGTGGACAACTTGTCCACCTTTGCTCTCGTATTGCACTGCATCCTTTTTGTTATTAATAAATTTTCATTTCCTGCCTTTAAAGAAACCATCACCAATAAGAAAGAGGTTTATCCTGGCAAAGTAAAGTAATAACCTGTAAAAGGGCCGGCCTGTCCTTGCTCACGCACTCTAATAACACTTGCAAGCAAAATTCCTGGAAGTCAATATCAGATCTGCAAACATGTTGATGGAAAATTATTAAAACAACCATGATTTAATCAGAGGAATGACTGTTTCCATCGGTAAAAATTATGACACAGCAAGATCTCTAATTGACTTTTCCATTATGATCACTCTAAGCAATGAGACAACAATGACATGGTTTAGCCAGTGAAAAAGATGTTAAGATCTGCTTCTATGCAATTAGAGTCAGTAGAGAAAAAACAACTTAGAAGCATATCGCTAACAAAAAAAATATCAACAAATTCTCCACTAGTGCAACAGCAGATATCATCCCCGCCAAAGAAGAGGCAAATTGTGGGAGTTAGTGTACTCAAGGTTCATAAAGGATAATTCATGGAAGTTTGCAGTCATTTAAGCAATACAAGGAACCAAATTCCTAAAACCTTTGAAGTCTTGCCTTCATTATCTAAAAAATTCATCTAAGCATTGCCAATATCTGATATCTTCAGTTGATACAAATAAGAAACAAGATTAACTGAGGCAGTATATGAATAATTCCGCTTCTTCCTAAATGAGATTCATACTTTCCACATATGCCTTATCAATTTATATCAGCATCCTAAATTACGAACAGAATCTAGTATTGTAGTTCTTCATATCTATGGCACTCCATTCGATCAAATGCATGATTTCCAGTGCTGGAAGGTCAAGGCAACACAATCGGATGTGAAATGCTGGAGGCTGTGAATAGAACACAAAAGAAACTAAAAAAATCTCAAAGGCATGATGTAAAGTCAATCACAACTGACAGTCCAATTCGTAATGTCAAAACAATCAACCATCAGCTCAGAAAAAAAAAAAAAAAAGAAAATAAAGCAAAATTACTATTTATTACATTACATTATTGAAAAAGAAAGTGTCACAGATAAATTTAAATGTTATATGCATAGTTATCAAATCGTGTATCGGAAGGCGTATCGTTTTTTAAAAATAGTATATCGTATCGTTTATCGTAATNCAAAGGCATGATGTAAAGTCAATCACAACTGACAGTCCAATTCGTAATGTCAAAACAATCAACCATCAGCTCAGAAAAAAAAAAAAAAAAAAAGAAAGAAAATAAAGTAAAATTACTATTTATTACATTACATTATTGAAAAAGAAAGTGTCACAAATAAATTTAAATGTTATATGCATAGTTATCAAATCGTGTATCGGAAGGCGTATTGTTTTTTAAAAATAGTATATCGTATCGTTTATCGTAAGATACGGTGTAAATTTAAATAAATAAAAATAAAATATATATACCTTTGAAAAAAAATCATACACTCGTAAAAATATAGCATTTAATTAATACTCTACCAACTATTCAAGTCATCAACATAGTTCACTAATATTATAATGCAAAGTTCACAACGATAGGTATCGATGGAGACTGCACACACACACACACATATATATAGATGGTNAAAATAAAATATATATACCTTTGAAAAAAAATCATACACTCGTAAAAATATAGCATTTAATTAATACTCTACCAACTATTCAAGTCATCAACATAGTTCACTAATATTATAATGCAAAGTTCACAACGATAGGTATCGATGGAGACTGCACACACGCACACACATATATATAGGTGGCTTTGTAAATAAATTAACATCATTTCTTACACTGCACAGGACCACAGGTATCGATGGAGACTAGGAAGAAGAAGAAGAAGGCAACTTCGATGGAGTACCTGGAGAAGGAAGAAGAAGGCAGCTTCGATGGAAGAACAGAGAACACCAACAGTCGAAGACCAGCGAACACCCACGAGTCGTCGTCGATGGCTGAAGAACACCCAAAATCGAACACNCGACAACAATCGGAACAAGGGAAAATTTACGCTTATATCACTCAACTCTCAAGGCACTGTTTTTTCGATGTCTGCAACCGATACCTAACCATCCCCTTTTATAATGAATTCAGTGAGGAAGCGGACNACCAATGAACATCGTCGAAGGTTGAAGAACACCCAAAGACATCAAACTCGAAGACCAACAAAGAAGGAAAAAGAGGAATTTTATTTTTTTTGTAACCCTAGCCACTGAAACGACGTCGTTTCAGTGGTTATAGGGATAAAAAAATCAGCCTCTTGGCCAAAAAACGACATCATTCCAAAAAAAAAAAAAATTAGATTTTGCACGTATCGTGCATATTGTACCGATACGTATCGTATCANCAAAATCGAACACCAATGAACATCGTCGAAGGTTGAAGAACACCCAAAGACATCAAACTCGAAGACCAGCAAAGTGAGCGAACAACAAAGAAGGAAAAAGAGGAATTTTATTTTTTTTGTAACCCTAGCCACTGAAACGGCGTCATTTCAGTGATTATAGGGATAAAAAAATCAGCCTCTTGGCCAAAAAACGACGTCGTTCCAAAAAAAAAAAAAAATTAGATTTTGCACGTATCGTGCATATCGTACCGATACGTATCGTATCGTGTATCGGACGATACAACGCAAAAACGATACATAACTACGATTCGTATCGTACGATACTAACAACTATAGTTATATGTGCAGCTGCTCAACTTACTGTACAGTCTGTACTGCTTCATAAGAACTACTAACTCCTAGAAGTGGAAAAAAGGTTTTAGCAATAAAAGCAAATGCTGTGCAAAATAATTAAGGTTAAAAAAGTAGCAATGAATAATAAGAAACTCAATAATCATATCGAAAAGTAAATAATCAGTCCGCGACTAATTTTTCAAACTTGCCCAAAGTAAATTTTCTTTGGTTGCTAAAATTGATACATACAGNCATAAGAACTACTAACTCCTAGAAGTGGAAAAAAGGTTTTAGCAATAAAAGCAAATGTTGTGCAAAATAATTAAGGTTAAAAAAGTAGCAATGAATAATAAGAAACTCAATAATCATATCGAAAACTAAATAATCAGTCCGCGACTAATTTTTCAAACTTGCCCAAAGTAAATTTTCTTTGGTTGCTAAAATTGATACATACAATACTGATAGATATGCTCTCTATGAGTTATATTATGAAATTTGTTTTGCAATAATGTATGATAACAGCTTGACAAATCAAACTTTTTTTCAGATTGATAATATTTACTAAAATCTTACAATTTTCTTCTACGACAATACAAAAAGGTACTCATACAAGTTGTCCATACCAATATCATATGTGTGAAATTCCAACTTCGTAATCAGGATCTTCTGAAACTGGATTGGGTTAAGTTGGATTGGACATTCGGTCTTTAGTTGTATATTTACCATTTTACACTAGTACCTTCACTACTGGGCTACCTTGCTTCAACCCAGCATATTTCGATTGAAACAACATTGCCATTGGAATGCACCCCCACACCCAACACCAATCTCACAGAGATATCAAAATTGCATTTAGAAGATCATCAATAATACAATAAAACCCGGGTAAATTTGAATTTTTATGAAAAAATGGCAAAATAATAATTAGCCACTATGGTACGGGTTAAAAACTCGCAATTTTCTAGAACTTGGATGACGAAACGGACAGCACCTTTAGATTCGTCTCGCGAAATCTAGTTACCCAGTCAATTTTCGTTAAATTCTGAGATAATCAGATTTCTTCATGTTTTCGAGGCGATTGAGTGTCGAGTGACTTAAATAAACAAGACCGGAAATTAAATTGCTAAAAGTGAAAAAAAAATTAAAGTAAGTTCAAATAAAAATATTTTGAACTTGAATCGAGACAAAATTAATTGATTCGGGACAAAACCGAACTCCGGAATGGAGGACGTGTGGCGCAATGAAGGTCAAGCATCTAAGGGGTATAAATAGAAGAGAAAAATCAAATTTTCTCCTCATACCCATCAGATTTCCAAAAATAGAGAGGAGGGAGAGAGAAAGGAGAAGAAAAGGCAAAATCTTCAACTTTTCTCTACGATCTATAGTTTTTCGTTCGTCGAATCGACTTGGACCAAGAACTAAAATTCATCTACGCGACAAGAGCTACGCCTACATGCCAAAAAGTATGGATTTTGATGAAATTTAAAAGACGGGATTTGAAAAAATCAAGGGCTAAGACTTGATTTGAGTCTTTAAAGACTTCTACCACTTGTTTTACGCTTCAAGAGGTAGGGTTCCTTTCCTAATTAGGTTTATTTCCAACCTAGAGTTGAAATATGAAATAGGTAGGGTGTTAAAGATGTAATCTCATGTATAACACATACTTATGATAGTTGAAATGTGAAAAATAAGTATAGAGAAAGGTTAAAATCAATTCTAACATGAATTGGGTATGTTAAAATTACTTGTTTGTGATTTCTTGATAAATGTATTGATTGAGCATGTTATGTACCTATGTGAATTAAGTCTGTTATTTGCATTGATTATGTTATAACATGCTTGAGATTTGATGTTGAAAAATGTTAGTATATGCATTATGATATATTGACATTGAAGTTGTTGATGGTGGTTATATGCTCATGATGTAATTAACCATGAAAAATATTGATGGATATCCAAGGGTGCGTTTAGTAACGTTTTCGTTTTTATGTTTTTTTTATAAAAAAAAATATAACCAAGTTTTGTTTTTTTTTTTTGTGATAAAAATTAAAAATATAAAACATGTTTAATAGTCATTTATATTTAAAAAATTATAACAACAAATATAAAAAACTTGTTTGTTAGTATACCAAAAATTCACCACCGAAACTCCACCACCAAACCCCACTGACCACCCAACCCCACCATTGAAACCACCCCAACCCNCTTCATAAGAACTACTAACTCCTAGAAGTGGAAAAAAGGTTTTAGCAATAAAAGCAAATGTTGTGCAAAATAATTAAGGTTAAAAAAGTAGCAATGAATAATAAGAAACTCAATAATCATATCGAAAACTAAATAATCAGTCCGCGACTAATTTTTCAAACTTGCCCAAAGTAAATTTTCTTTGGTTGCTAAAATTGATACATACAATACTGATAGATATGCTCTCTATGAGTTATATTATGAAATTTGTTTTGCAATAATGTATGATAACAGCTTGACAAATCAAACTTTTTTTCAGATTGATAATATTTACTAAAATCTTACAATTTTCTTCTACGACAATACAAAAAGGTACTCATACAAGTTGTCCATACCAATATCATATGTGTGAAATTCCAACTTCGTAATCAGGATCTTCTGAAACTGGATTGGGTTAAGTTGGATTGGACATTCGGTCTTTAGTTGTATATTTACCATTTTACACTAGTACCTTCACTACTGGGCTACCTTGCTTCAACCCAGCATATTTCGATTGAAACAACATTGCCATTGGAATGCACCCCCACACCCAACACCAATCTCACAGAGATATCAAAATTGCATTTAGAAGATCATCAATAATACAATAAAACCCGGGTAAATTTGAATTTTTATGAAAAAATGGCAAAATAATAATTAGCCGCTATGGTACGGGTTAAAAACTCGCAATTTTCTAGAACTTGGATGACGAAACGGACAGCACCTTTGGATTCGTCTCGCGAAATCTAGTTACCCAGTCAATTTTCGTTGAATTCTGAGATAATCAGATTTCTTCATGTTTTCGAGGCGATCGGGTGTCGAGTGACTTAAATAAACAAGACCGGAAATTAAATTGCCAAAGGTGAAAAAAAATTTAAAGTAAGTTCAAATAAAAATATTTTGAACTTGAATCGAGACAAAATTAATTGATTCGGAACAAAACCGAACTCCGGAATGGAGGACGTGTGACGCAATGAAGGTCAAGCATCTAAGGGGTATAAATAGAAGAGAAAAATCAAATTTTCTCCTCATACCCATCATNCACCTCCACCACCACCGAAATCCACTCCCAATCCAACCCCCACCATTGAAACCCACAACCTACCCCCCACCACAACCATTGAAACCCACTACCCACTCCTGAAACTCCACAGCAAAGCCCACCACTCAACCCTAGAAACCTATCATCAAAGAAGGGTGAGAGAGAGAGAGTGAGTCGAGAGAGACCAGAGACCTAAAAAAATGGAGTGAAATGAAGATGGAGTGACCTTGGAGATGGAGTAATGGCTTCGCAGCGATTGGCGATGGCGATGGCTTCATTGTTGGCATCAAGAGAGAAAGAGAGAGAGGGGGGTGGGTTGAAACCTAAAAGAGAGATGTCCTTTTATACCNGGTAGGGTTCCTTTCCTAATTAGGTTTATTTCCAACCTAGGGTTGAAATATGAAATAGGTAGGGTGTTAAAGATGTAATCTCATGTATAATNATAATATATTGAACTTGGTATTAAAAAATGTAATTGTACATCACATTTACAAATGCATGGAAAATATCGCATTCATGAGCATGTGACATGAGTGTGGGTGTGTGTGCATGGTTGATTAAATACCATTCTTGGTGAATGATGTTTGTNATTATACTCATAATATATTGAACTTGGTATTAAAAAATGTAATTGTACATCACATTTACAAATGCACGGAAAATATCGCATTCATGTGCATGTGACATGAGTGTGGGTGTGTGTGCATGGTTGATTAAATATCATTCTTGGTGAATGATGTTTGTGCTCAAAAAAGTTAGACCAAAATTCAACTGAGTCATACAGGTTGCATTTAAAATAGGGTCGAAGTTAACAAAAAGGGCTAGACTATCCCTCAGGTGCAAGAACCGGTAATTTGGATACACACTCCGTTGATATTGAATCCATAAAGTGTGTCAACATACGCAGAACCGTTGGTGGAAGTTCATAAATGCCGTGTCGGTTGGGTGCCCGTTAATGGAAGTCTATAAATACCCACCCCAAGAAAGACCCAAAATTTAAAAAGGTCATTGGATGTGTAACATCAATGANATACAGGTTGCATTTAAAATAGGGTCGAAGTTAACAAAAAGGGCTAGACTATCCCTCGGGTGCAAGAACCGGTAATTTGGATACACACTCCGTTGATATTGAATCCATAAAGTGTGTCAACATACGCAGAGTCGTTGGTGAAAGTTCATAAATGTCGTGTCGGTTGGGTGCTCGTTAATGGAAGTCTATAAATACCCACCCCAAGAAAGACCCAAAATTTATAAAGGTCATTGGATGTATAACATCAATGGCAGGGACTTGGAATGCCCAGATGCATACGCATGACATTGCATGTGTTTTGGGAGCCAATAAAAGCTCGATTGAGTTACATGTGTAAGTCTCATTTCATAATATGGTATAGCATAAAGGATCCATTATGAATTGCATATTCTTACTGTTGGAGATATAGCAGCAGTCTAGTTTATTAGGGTCTCATTAAGTTTTCCTTTTTTACCTTTTTGTCCTTATAGTAACTCTCATTGACTATATATACGGAGGCTCTACACTTAGTTTGTATCCCTTTTTTACTCACATTAATTCCAAGTTGGTATCAGAGCCACNGGATCCATTATGAATTGCATATTCTTACTGTTGGAGATATAGCAGCAGTCTAGTTTATTAGGGTCTCATTAAGTTTTCCTTTTTTACCTTTTTGTCCTTATAGTAACTCTCATTGACTATATATACGGAGGCTCTACACTTAGATTGTATCCCTTTTTTACTCACATTAATTCCAAGTTGATATCAGAGCCACAACCGTAACCCTACCCTAGCCCCTCCTCCACGTTGCAGCCACCAGCCACCACACTGCCGCCGACTGCCCAAACCACCGACAACAAACACAACAAACATCAAACCCAGCGACAGCCTGCAACAAACCCACTGCCCGTACCAACAACACAACCACCGATAGCCACCANACATTAATTCCAAGTTGATATCAGAGCCACAACCGTAACCCTACCCTAGCCCCTCCTCCACGTTGCAGCCACCAGCCACCACACTGCCGCCGACTGCCCAAACCACCGACAACAAACACAACAAACATCAAACCCAGCGACAGCCTGCAACAAACCCACTGCCCGTACCAGCAACACAACCACCGATAGCCACCAATTGCCCTTACACAACCACCGACTGGAGAGAATTGGGAGGAGGTGTTGTCCACTCCATTGGCCTACCAGCGAACAACACCTGGTATCATCCAGCAAAACCCCTGTCGCTAGCCACCGAACAACCGAAACATATAGACAATACAAACCCACTCCAGACCACCGACTTCATAAACCCACTGCCCCACCGACAAACAATACCCACTCCAACCAAAACATATAGACAATACAAACCCACTCCAGACCACCAACTTCACAAACCCACTGCCCCACCGACAGACAATACCCACTCCAAACCATCACATGCTCCCTAGCCGACTGCCCAAGACCAACTGCCTACCCAGCCAAAAAAAAAAAAAACACGTACTCCTATACACCGAGCAAACATTAAA